CTAGTTTGAAGAAGTAAAGGACAAAATTATCATACATTTTTGCATGAGATATTGCAACCTCTCTTTCGGGTTGCAAAACCATTCAAAACAATTTAACAGCTTGATACGTTGTCCAAAGTTTTCCTAAAACGTAACGGCATAACACATTCTGATAGTATAAAGAATGGCTTACCTTTTTATTTCAGAAATCATTTATGTGTTGAAGTGTTGTATTGTACTGCACTATACTGTAGTGTAGTGTACTGTACTGTATCAGAGCTAAATAATGGTTTTAGATCAAAATGCTTGATTTACAAAAGAAAGCCCAGTTTCTAGGTAAATATTAAATAAGGAAGAAGACATTTTTTGGAAGGTTTATGCTTCCAGTTGAAATTGAAATTATTTTGTCCAGCAATGTACGAAAAAAACAGCGACTTTAAGAATGTCCTGACGGGAATACTTAAAGCTAAAACCTGAGAAAAGCAGAGAGATTTAAGAATAAAGAAAATAAAATAGGTCAACTATATATACATGGACTACAGAAGAAGCATGAAGATGTTTATAAAAGAAATAAACTTACAAAAGACATTTTTAGGGTTGAGTTTTTCGATGGCGATATTTTTTTAATCGACCGGTCATAAACACACCAAATTCAACAAAAAAAATTGAATCCTGATCGGTTCTGCCTTTTTTTCTGTCATGAGTCAACATTTTCAGAATACAAAACTTTTTAAGGCAATTTTTTTTAACTTTGAATGGACAATGTGAGGTCCCATTTCGAAGGGCTCAAATTAAACAAATAAACAACCAATAAAGACAACCGGATGGATGTATCCACCACATTTTTAAAAATATTTATATATTTATTATACGTATATTATATATATATATATTGTCCCACACAGGATGAGACGTTAGAGACGGAGCTGTCTGGAATTTTGTCCGTCCCGGAGTTTTACATTTTTCAACTTTTTTCCACTTATAAAAAAAAACTCATCAAAGACTTTATTCAAGAAAAACGGCTAAATTAAACCATAAAAGTTGGCATAATATTGTTATATATTGATTTGTATGTCGTCATTGAAGTCTCATCCTTCGTGGGTAACCCTATAGAAAGGGAAAATAAAAAAATTAAAAAGTAAAAAAGACAGATAGAAAGATAGAAGAATTTAAAGCGAATGAATCATGAAGCATTGTTGAAATCATACGTACAATTAGTGTTATCAGTTGATAATTGCTTTTATACACGCATTTTTGAATACTTTAGTTCAATTCAATTTTATAGTTTTATTCATTTCTGCCTCCTTCCCTAGAAAACAAAACATATTTCCAGTTACAACCGTATTTTGGGCTTACGTGCAAACATTAATTAATCTAGAACGTGAAATTTATTAAATCATGATTTTTAATTTTAAATATATCATAATTAATTGAATGCCGCTTACCGCTGCATGAATGATGATAGGCAAATAGGGATTGCAGAATTTCAAGATTTTAACCCATGTGTTTAAATTTTAACTCGTCGATTTCGGCGAGTTAAATATTTAACCACAGGGTTAAATATTTAACCTCACGGTTAAAGTTCAGGTTTAAATTAAGTCAGAAGTGGCATTTAACCATGAACTTAAAATTTAAGTCAAAACTTTTCGTTCTTTAGTTTTAGACTCTGGGCTCCTAGCTCAAGTAATTAGAAGGGCTGTCCTATTTCTAGTGGAAATAAAACAGATGTGACTTAAAGGGATACAATTTTAGACGTAATGCCTTTTTTTAAATGGAGGCTTACTTAAACATTCGTTGACAGCGCCTTTAAGAGATAAGCATGCTTTGTTAAGTCTAATTCCTCAATTCCATGTATCCCTACTGAATTTTCATTTGTGACTTGAATTGCATTGAATGCTCGAAACATAATATTCAAACATCAGATGGAGGAATCCAAAGAATTTGTTGCATTCATAAAGTCTCTTAAACTCTGTTATTTACCCTATATGTAAAGAATATGCCTTTACTTTTTTCCTTCAAATAATATTAGATGATTTAATTTCCGGTTTTGTGGAAAAATCTCAATTCATCGTTGAGAGGAATTCTCGCTTCTATTCAAATCTTGTTTGACAAGATTCTTCCACTCGTCTTACGTTACGGGAAATTGAATTCAGGGGACATTAATTTCAAACCACGATTTGATCCATTTCTAACAGTGAGTGTTAGAAATATGCCAAAGGTAGTGTATATATCTTTTTATCAAAGCCTAGTAGAACAAAACTACAGCATATATTCATTGACAATGGATAATACTATATATTAATACAAGAAATGTCAATTTTAAACTAATAATTAGAATTAGTTTTTCATGATTCTTGGTTTCATTTTTGAAACAATATAGTGCCCGGGCGTGACAATGACTCTATATTCAGTTTTGGAAATGAGCCATAAACCCGTTTTTGAACTAATGTCCCCTGAATTATTGATTTCGATATGTGTAGTTTTTGATGAATTTAAATCGTGGAAAATAAAAAAATATGCTTTTAAATTAATAATAATAAAAATAGAGTTTTCAAAATATGCTGAAAATTTTCTTAACTCGGTTTATATTATTTTTCTACAGTCTTCCATTCTTTTGCACACATGGGTCTTCTGCAAATAATTTTCTGTAAAATTCATGGGATATTAGTTCCAAAGCTAACACTTGGCCAATTTCTAACACTGAGTGTTAGAAACGGGCCAGATCTGAAAAGTTATCTTTTTCTAGAGTATATATTTTTAAATCCAAGTCGAGTAGAACAAAATTACACCATATATTTATAAAAATGTCAATTTAAAACTTATGGTAAGGTGTGAGAATTGGTTTTTAATGATTCTTGATTTCATTTTCGAGTTTTGAGACGATTACCGGAATTCATATCAATGTAAATTTTTAAGCATTTACGCACTTACGTAACAAAACAAGATTTTTGATAAGGTAAAATATAAACAAACTGTTCTTTTATAATTTAAAGATCATTGCAGCATTGAGAAATCAAAATATTAATATCATTACTTCTTACAATAAAGATTTAACTAGTAATGCAGGAAACTGTTTGTTTAAAATGCTTGAAAATAAATCATCCATATTCTCTAATTTAACAGATCAAATGTGGAAACTTAAAGATTCTAGAGATAATTCAGAAGTTAATTTAGTCTTCATAAGATAATTTCTGTTTTCAGTGATTTATTTTGTAAGTTATAAAAGTGAGTTTTGTTTTGAATTGCGAATTATACTCAAAAACAGGAAAGTAGGTTTTGTCTCGAAAACGCGACAATGTTTCAAATACAGGATATGTTTGAAAATGGAAAACCTGTCATTGTCTTGAAAACGGTCAAAAGATTTAATATAAAAAGAACTCCGCTTATAATTTTCATTTTAAAAAGTTTAAAATTGGGAATTGTTGTCCTCGTCATGTTCAATAAAATGTTGGTTATAGTTTTTATTCTGGATATGGGCCGGGATCCTAAAAACCCAGTCTTTCAATTTGTGCCTATTTCTAATACTCAGTGTTAGAAATTGGCCAATTGTTAGTTTTGGAACTAATGTCCCCTGCAATTGCTCTGCAAAATATGCTTTTTTAACCTTCGCTCTCCTTCATAATATTTTCTTTTCTGGTTGCTCTCCCATAGATTACTTTGCTCTCCTTCATAATATTTTCTTTTCTGGTTGCTCTCCCAAAGATTACTTTGCTCTCCTTCATAATATTTTCTTTTCTGGTTGCTCTCCCATAGATTACTTTACTCTCCCTCATGCCAATCTCATTGCTTTGTATGTATGCAGATACATTCATTATCTTGTATCTCGATTTATTAGTAAATTATTTGGTTTATCAATAAATCAATCAATCCGTGAGTAAAAATATCAATTGATCAATTACCAATTAAATAATCTATTTAATGATTAATGAATTATTTAATCAAATAATCTTTTTTTTCAGTAACTATGAAATTAATTTTTCAATTAACAAATTGGATTTTCAATTAACAAATTAATTTTCAATTAAAAAATCAATTTATCAATTTGTATATCATTATATCAATTAACAAATCAATTTATCAATTAAAAAATCATTAATAAATCAATTTATAAATTAATAAATCAATAAATCAATTTATCAATTAATAAATTAGTTTTTTATTAATAAATCAAATGTTAAATTCAATTCATTAATAAATATATAAATCGTCTTATTGATTAACAATTCAAAATCGTCAATAATTGACGATTTACTTCAGTGATAAACAGAGCAATATAAACCTTTTAATTAATTGACTCTTTCAACTGTGCAGGTGATCTATTGATTGCAATATTAATTGATTAATTAATTAATTGATTTTAGATGTTTGTACAGACCCGCTAGGGGCAGATTGGATATCCTTCTTTGTTATACCAGCCTACTCATTTTCCCTGGTTCTACTCTTTGCTTTAGGGAATATTTATCATTATTATTATTATTATTGAGATTTATTTTCACATACAAATATAAATTGATATAAATTGGTGTAGATACTATAAAAAACCAAACAAACGAACAATTTTAGAAAAGAGTTCTAACGATTCATTTTCTAATTTCATTCTGTTTCTGTAATCAGCTTTTTTAAAATCAAAACAATATCAGAAGTACATAAAACATGTTAATTCAGTAAAATATCAGATTTAGAAAGAATCAAATGTATACACATAAGCAATTATTTAGAACAAGTCAGCACATAACGATTCAAATACATTCTTACTGCACATAGACGTTTCCAGCCATTTACTCGATTTGTTAGTAAACTTGACATCCACCATTGGCAAATGGTGTACAACCATTCTTGTTGACTGTAGTAGACTTTGACATATACCATTATACCAAAGGATACAACCCCATTCTTGTTGACTGTAGTAGACTTTGACATATACCATTAGCAAAGGATGTACAACCATTATTGTTGACTGTAGTAGACTTTGAAATATACCATTATAGCAAAGGGTGTACAACCAATCTTGTTGACTCAGAATGGTGGATGTCAAAGAATGTACATCCATTCTTGTTGACTGTAATAGACTTTGACATCCACTATTATAGCAAAGGATGTACACCTAGATGTACACCTATTCTTGTTGACTGTGGTAGACTTTGACATCCACTATTATAGCAAAGGATGCACACCTATTCTTGTTGACTGTAGTAGACTTTGAAATCCACTATTATAGCAAAGAATGTACATCCATTCTTGTTGACTGTGGTATACTTTAACATCCACAATTATAGCAAAGGATGTACACCTATTCTTGTTGACTGTGGTAGACTTTGACATACACAATTATAGCAAAGAATTTACATCCATTCTTGTTGACTGTGGTAGACTTTGACATCCACTATTATAGCAAAGAATGTACATCCATTCTTGTTGACTGTGGTAGACTTTGACATCCACTATTATAGCAAGGAATGTACATCCATTCTTGTTGACTGTTGATAGACGTTGACATCCACTATTATAGCAAAGAATGTACACCTATTCTTGTTGGCTGTGGTAGACTTTGACATCCACTATTATAGCAAAGAATGTACATCCATTCTTGTTGACTGTTGATAGACGTTGACATCCACTATTATAGCAAAGAATGTACACCTATTCTTGTTGACTGTGGTAGACTTTGACATCCACTATTATAGCAAAGAATGTACACCTATTCTTGTTGACTGTTGGTGGACGTTGACATCCACTATTATAGCAAGGAATGTACATCCATTCTTGTTGACTGTAATAGACTTTGACATCCACTATTATAGCAAAGGATGTACACCCATTCTTGTTGACTGTGGTATACTTTGACATCCACTATTATAGCAAAGGATGTACACCTATTCTTGTTGACTGTGGTATACTTTGACATCCACTATTATAGCAAAGGATGTACACCTATTCTTGTTGACTGTGGAAGACTTTGACATCCACTATTATAGCAAAGGATGCACACCTATTCTTGTTGACTGTAGTAGACTTTGAAATCCACTATTATAGCAAAGAATGTACATCTATTCTTGTTGACTGTGGTAGACTTTGACATACACCATATACCAAAAGATGTACACATATTCTTGTTGACTGTGGTAGACTTTGACATCCACAATTAGCAAAGGGTGCAAGCCCATTCTTGTTGACTGTAGTAGACTTTGACAGCAAGCATTTATGCTTAAAGAACATGTATTAATTATCATTAATAAAAAGACTGACTAGAAATTGGCAATGTTACAATTTTGAACCTTAAGAGTGCTGGCAGACGCAGTATATCACAGAGACAAATTTTAGGATGTATTTTAAACCACTGAGACGTTTTTACGGTGTATAATTATTTGTAAGAGTTAAATTTCTTAATTCCCTTTAAAGAAACTTTTGTCTTCTTTGCTTAAAGGGACTGTAAAGGAAAAATGAAAGGGGGTATAGGCTGAAAGCTAATCACTTTAGCTACTAGTTTGAAGATGATGTAGTAAGTATAGATCTAAAAGAGTTGAATGAACTCTACGAAGTGTTCCCTGACCAATATCTTCCCTCCAGTGACAGCCAAACTAACAGTGATCCCAGGTATTAATTTCAAAACTATTTCTTGCCAGATTTAAATTTTTTCTTCAAAAAACTTTGATGTGTTAAATCGATTTGTATCGATCACTTCTTGAAAACATTTCTTAATAAAAAAAGGAAAAAATCAAATCTTAAAATTAAAATTTTGTAGGGAAAAAATATTTATTGTTATCATTTGTCACTATTTCGACCTGTAAAATTTCCTTTCCTTGTTCTCTGCAGGAAATCTCCCCCCCCCCCCCGTTTGAGGCATAAAGTTACGATTTATAATTTGTTTTTGTTGATTTTCAATATTCAGTTATTTTTAGGAATAGTTTGCAGCAGATAATAGAGGAGGAGGAAGATATCTTTGATGAAGAAGATGAATCCAGTGATGAAGATCATGCTGATGTAGATCAATCTGATGTAGGTCAAGGTGGTGAAGATTATGCTGATGATCTGAAGCAAGATGACAATGAGGAAGAAAAAAAAAAGATATCAGACATCAGTGATTCCTCAAGGTGAAGAAATAGTCGTCATTTGATTAAAAAGATAGAAAAATTTGATTAGATTTGAATTTAGTGATGAACTTGAAAACGGCAGCGTAGATAAAAGTGATGTTGAGACATCAGATACTGGCTTTAGACTAAAGGTAAGGAAATTTCGACATTACAGTACATTACTACATATATATATATATAAAGTAGTAATCTCGGGTTGTCTGTCTGGTTGTTTGCATATCCAATTATATCTCATGAACCCTTCGACTGATTTGCCTAAATTATTTTTTTAAAGCAAGGTAGTAAAGGTTAAACCTAGGTTCCCAAGCTAGTTGCAAAGTATATTTGAAAAGGTTGTTGAAATTGGAAAAAGTTTAATTTTTCAAACGAAAACACATTCATTTAGAAAAATATGAGGAAATTGATCAAAAAAAAGAGGAAACCATTCAACTCTAAATATTGGGAAACGGATACAAAATATTCGGAAATCCCTCAACAATTCTGAACTTTTAAGGGATTTCCTCGAATTTCTAAAAAAAAACGGAAATGCCTCAAAAATAATTTTTGATCCGTTTCCGTGTTGAGTCGTTTCCGTGTTGAGGCGTTTCCATTTCACCATTCATTTAGTGTTTACAATCATGTAAACATTGCCCATTTCAGAAAAATTTGAAGTTAAGTCTTTGCCACAAACTCAAATTTTCTAATCCCTATATTTTTTTTTAAAGATTATAAATAGTTTAACAAATTTTATCGGGTTACAAAGATATTGGGGTTAGAAAATTTAAGTTTTGGCAAAAACTTATTTCCTAATAAAAATAGTAAAATTCTAACGTTTCTAAATGATGTTATTTAGTTAAAAGTAGTAATTAATTGAGTTTTAATGATTAATTAATTAAACTTTCGTTTGATTAAAAATGTTCTTATTTTTCTATCTAAAAAGTGACTTGAAGATTAATGTAGCAGAGAAAAAAGTGATATTAACAAAATTCAATACTATTAAATTTATAAAATAGAAGTTATCCTGCTCATTGCATGTGGCTCAGTTTCATTTGCCATAATTACACTTGCCATAATTACACTTGCCATAATACCTTTGCCATAATACCTTTGCCATAATTACACTTGCCATAATACCTTTGCCATAAGTTACACTTGCCATAATACCTTTGCCATAAGTTACACTTGCCATAATTACACCTACTATAATTACTTTTGTCATAATTTTCTAATTTCTAAAAAGATTAAAATCTGTCTTTTTTTATTGCAAATGCGGGAAATTTTCCAATGAAAATTCCCAACTTTAGTTTTCTCATTGTTTTATAACAGAACAGTTGACACAAGTTCAGCTCCATATTATCTCACAATGGAGGACCCTTTGGTGGCCTTTGAGACAAAAAAATAGTAAACCAATGGTTCGAGACAGCAACATCTACACCTATGTAGCCAATACCTCGTTTCCAGAGTCGAAATATTGAAAATGTTCGGTTAAAATGTGCTCAGCTAGAATTCGAACCACAATTCGAACTGTCTCTGAATTAGATTTGTTATTTGTATTTAATTTGTAATAATAAAGAATATATATATATGCTTGTTAATTCTAACCAAATTTAATTTTAATTATGGCAAGTGTAATTATATATATCAACTGTAATTATATCAAGTTTAACAATTATGGCAAGTGTAAAGATTATGGCAAGTGTAACCATAATAGCAAGTGTAGCTTTTGGCAAGTATAATTTATGGCGAGTGTTACTTATGGCAAATGTATTATGGCCAATGTAATTATGGCAAAAGTATTTATGGCAAGAGTATTTATGGAAAAAGTATTATGGCAAATGAAACTGAGCCTTACATGTTGCTTAGATAATGTTGTAAACTTATCTTTAAAAACTTAGTTTTTATTAAAAATGCAAAAAAAATAACAAAAAAAAGAAATATTAATATTTTGGAATTATCTTTGTTTACAATAGAAATATGACTTCATTAGAAAATTTAAAAAATCTACATCAAAATTTTTTTTTTACAAATTAAATTTGGGTATTGTCTCTTCGCACATTAACCACCTATTGTGTCCTGCTGATGTTAAGGTTCTATAAAAAGTTGGGCTCCATCGGTTTAGCCGTTACGTATGTAACAAACTTAAACTGCTGAAAGGATATTTTTTTTGTCTGAAATGTTTTAGGTCTTGGATAGTTCTACGACTAGTGCTCTGAGATCAGCTAATTCAAGAATAAAACCTGTGATATCCCTGCCCTTATTCCCTAGTATTAGTTTTCAATCTGAAACTCCTTCTAATTCTAGGAAAGAGTCCATTTCTTTACAGCAAACAAGGTAAAAATAATGGATTTTTTTATAATCTACCTTACCTTAAAACAAAAATAGAACATTTTATTTTAACTTTAAGCAACTGCAATAGAGTGCTATGATTCAGATTACAGTCTAGATATTTTAAGTTTTTTTTTGATTGAATTGCTTCATAGAAATGCTTTTACGCAGAATCTGCTTTATCCCTTGATTTTGTAAATCCGCATTATCTCTGATCTCTGATTAGTTAAACGCAAAATAATAGTTGGCTTCTGGATTGCTGTTCGTTTTCAACACTCGTTACGGGACATTGAATAAAGATTAAATTAGTCTGTAGATTAACAAGATATCGAGATCAATGCTTGATCTTGATATCCACGATTTAAGAGTTCCCGGCTCTGACCTTAAAAAATACGACCTGTAATTAACATATTATCAAGAAGCAATAATTTTTAATGTTATGCACTGCATCTAGTGTTGTTAGTCGTCTTGTATTGATCTTAGAAAAAAAAATCAATATAAGTTTCAAGATTTCAAAACTGTATTATGGTAAAATTTGCTTTTAATAACTTTGCAATGCCTTTATCCTAAAAACAATGAAATTGGAAAAACAGTCCAAAAACTAGCATTACAGCACGTTCGTTTTGCAGCATTTTTGGATCGTTTTTGGATGATCGTTTTCTTGCATATTTCTTCTGTCAGAGTCAAAATTTGACATACAATCAAAGAAAGGAAAATGTTTATAAAATAAGGGCAGATGTTCTATGAAAATATAGGCAAATATAACAACTGAAAAGCAAACCAATTTAAACTGATTGCATCCAACATCTGTATCTAATCCATCAAGAAATGTAGTCAATGCCTACTCCATAACATTTTACTAGAGACGTATCTATCCAGGTCTATTCGTTACCAAAAATCAACCAGGACTAATTCTCCGATTCTAAAGGACACATTGCCCAAATCTCTAATCGTATAATTCAAAGAGATCCCAAGCTATCTTTCAAGCCAATTGCCAATTATAAAGGCAAGATCTACGTTCGTATGTTTCAACGAGAACCAAAGCAAGCTTTGTTTCAAGCTTAATTTGCTTTAGAAAACTCAATCAAAAGCCGAGTCACAATCAACTAATCTATATTTCGTAGTTCATATTAGATTTGGAGTATTTACAGCGTAATTACAAGTTATGAGCGGTTACTATACCACATTAAATCACATTTTATAGGTATAACGAAGTTATGTATATCTACCAACATGGAATGGGTTAATCGCATTACAGGATTTGTGTAGTTATTATGTGAACAAATGTCACCGTATTTATATTATACTAGGCCCCAAGTTTTGCTACAGAAATACATATTTTAGGCACACCCGATTAGACAGATCTCCTTCACAAACACAAGCAGATTTTGTATTTAGGCTACTTTCTAGGTAATTTACATCATTTAAAGGAACTCATTACTCACCACAAACTATAATTTTATAATTTTTAATATTTTATAATCCCTATATCTTTTACAACCTGGTGGTGTAGCCATTGATTTTTAAAACTATTTCATCTAACAGAATTTATGGTTTGAAATATCTTTATTTTACGACAATTTAACTTCAAAGATATATGGATTTGGAAATTAATATTAGTGACGAGTGTTCAGTTTCTTTATCCGAATTTCATTATTGTACCCATCAGTTACCCTTTACTATACTGTACTGTGTATGGTGTAAATTGTACATTGTACACGTTTAATATTTTGAGCCTTCAAAGTCCCAATAAGTAGGACTTTAGGCGGGTTGGATCTAAAATCAAATAGAGTAAAAAATGTTTATTGTTCAAAACGAAAAGGAATAGTAAAGATTATTTGAAGAAATATAGATTTTATGAAAAAGTAAAAAAGAGGAAAAGTAAAGATTTTAGGAAAAAATATGGATTCTAGGAAGAAAGTAAAGACTATTGGAAGAAATATGGATTCTAGGAAGAAAGTAAGATTATCGAAAGAAATATGGATTCTAGGAAGAAAGTAAAGACTATGGGAATAAATATGGATTTCAGGAAAAAGTAAGATTGTTTGAAGAAATATGGATTCTAGGAAAAAGTAAGATTTTAGGAAAAATATGGATTCTATGAAGAAAGTAAAGACTATTTGAATAAATATGGATTTCAGGAAAAAGTAAGATTGTTGAAGAAATATGGATACTAGGAAAAAGTAAAGATTGATGGAAGAAATATGGATTTTAGGCAAAAGTAAAGACAATTGGAAGAAATATGGATTCTATGAAGAAAGAGAAGATCATAGGATGAAATATAGATACTAGGAAAAAGTAAAGAATCTAGGAAAAGTAAAGATTCTAGGAAAAAATTATTAATGTAGAAAAAATTTAAGATTTTTGGAAGAAATATAGATTCTAGGAAAAGTAAAGACAATTGGAAGAAATATAGATTCTATGAAAACGTAAAGAATCTAGTAAGAAGTAAAAACCATAGGAAAAAGTAAAGATATAGGATTGAATTTAAATTTTATGAAAAAGTAAAGAATCCAGGAAAAAATAAAGACTCTAGGCGAAAGGGAAGAATCAAGGAAAAANGGTCTTTAGGGAAATCGCTAAGTAGCGAAACAAGAGTCTAGGAAAAAGTAAAGAATTTAGGAAAACTAAATGTTCAAGAAAAAAGTAATCATTAAAGGATGAAAAATAGATTTTATGAAAAAGTAAAGAATAAAGGAAAAGTAAGGTTCATAAAAGAAAGATTCTAGAAAATAGCAAAGACTAAAGGAAGAAATATATATTCTTGGCGAACGAATCAAGGAAAAACAAGTAAAGAACCTGGGAAAATGTAAAGATTATAACTTAGTAATTTTCGCTCCACTGTCTGAGTAAGTTATATAACTAAGTCCTGATTTTGAAATATGTTGTCTCACGGTTTAGAAAAACTGATTTAAAGCCCTTAAAACTATAAGAGGTTAAAACATTAAGCAATGTAATAAATATCATAATCATTCCTGGTAATCAATAGGGGGGGGGGGTCTGACCTTTTAAATTGAAAGGTTAATTTGATTAAAAAAAAGACATATGTATTTTGCAGATAAGCTTTGAAAACCTAGTTAAAATAAGTACATAGCTTCTTCTAAAATTGAAAAAAAAAAAATGATTAAATTGTTTGATTTAATATTTTGTTGACAAATGGTGCACTTCATTGTTTGTCTTTAACATCATTTTTATTCTTTTCTGTTTATCTCATGGACTGTGTACTCAGTTTGTTTACAAATAGATGACTAGATGTCTTGATCTCATTTATTGTCAAATATTTACAAAATATAAGATGTCCCAGAAAAAAATGACACCTTGATCGTAAAAAATTGAACGAAAATTGTTTCCTCAGTTACTAATACCTCTACTGCACAGTTTTTTCTGGGACACCCTGTATTGAACGGAACTTATTTTCGATTAACTTTATCCCGATGGGAGGGGGGGGGGGTATGTTTTTTTTCTTTGTGACTTAAAACCAAAAAAATAGAACTCTCAAACTTCTTTACTTTTCCAACCTTCAAATTGAGCATATATTTTGTGAGAATAAACTTTATTCCATGGGCCAGGGTACAGCTGGTCCCAACAAATCTATATTAGAAAAAAAAATCAAACCAGGATAGGGTTAAGAATATTTCAAGCAGGCTGCAAGGGTTCGGATAAAAACAATCATCGTGCAGGATTATACAACCAAAAAGGATAAGACATCAAAGATATACATCCATCCAGCCTGCAATGAAAAGTTTCTTCAATTTTCAAAACAGGTTCGACTTTAAAGTGTCACAGCGCCTTGGGCTTTGATTTTACCGCACTCACTCCCACTTTTTTTGTAGCCCTAAACATGTACATTGTAGAACTACAAAGCTTTAGTTTTGTAAAAAGCAAAAGACAAAATTGCCATACATTTTTGTGAGAAAGCTTGCAAACTTTAGAGACCATTGCATATTCAACATTTATAACGTGTCATTTAAAGAGTTTTAGGTTTTGATGTTTTGATGATAAATCAAGATATCTAGAAAAGATGAGTCTTCGTTAAAGGGGCCGTTCACTTACTTGGGTAATTTTATGGTAAACTAAACAGTCTTTTAGCTGTTGATTGGTATTAGTCTCCGTCCCTTTGTGCTCGCATTCTGAACGAAAAATCGGCTTTTTCTCCGGACACAGTTATCTTTGAAAAGTAAGACCAATACTAATCAATAGCTAATAAGCTTTACTTTACCCTGAAATTACCCAAATAAGTGAACGGTCACTTTAAATTTTAATTATATTCCCCTTGATGATCATCTTTTCCTTGAAAATCGATATTTTTTAATCGTGATTTCCATGTAAAGCGTCTTCAGATTTTCTGATTTTCGCTTTTCTTCTTGATGAGATAGAATTCAGGGGCATGCACCTCTTTAGATGAGAGTTTATTTCAATTTACAGAGAGAGGTCCATTTAAAAACATGGAATTTAACAAGATTTATTTAGCCCTGAAGAATACGAAAGTGGGCTGAAGATGTTAACTGAAAATCAGATTGTAGAAAAAAGGTAAATCATCATCTAAAGTTCTCTGAAAAAATTAATCGATAAATAAATAGTCTTTTAGATATGATAGAAGACGACTTTTTTAAAAATAAACTATGAAGTCTGTTAAATGAAATAATCTAAGTTTGAAATATCAAAGGTTTACACCAACAGGTTGTATAGATATAGGGATTATACAATTTGAGTTAGTGGCAAAGACTCAACTCCTTTCATAGACTTTTATGAAGTCTCTACTTTAAAGTTTAAAGATGATTTGGTGTTAAATAGAGAACGAAAGAGGCAAAAATCACCACAAGATTAATGAAAATAGAAATTTTTAATAAATTAATAATTTATAAAAAAAATTTAAATAATTTAAAACAATATTAAAAAGATGATTTGGAGTTGTTTTTAGATCTCCTACTGGACGCAAGCTAAGCACGGTCAACCTACAGCCTAAAGGAAGACTAACTCCGAGAGAGAGTTTAGTACGGAACAGCAGTATTGTTAGTAACCAGGTTAAATTTGGAAATATATTTTTATTTTATCATACAAACATATAGGAATAGTAATTATGCTGTTGGGACATTTCTAAAGATTGTTCATTGATGGACATAGGAAATTTCATAGACATCTTTCTTTGATATTTCTTTCTATTAAAAGTCTTTCTATAAAATGAAACACCTAATTAACTATAAACGTCATTTCAAGTGTTCCTTCATTTCAGATTCACCACGGTATACTTTAAAATGTTTAATTAAGAAGGAATGAGATATCGCATGATTTTCGCTTGAAAAATTTACTAGCTTAAATTGTGGTGTGTCTACTCTATACAATATAAACTATATTAGTGGACAAAAAAGGTTTAAATGGCACCATTTTGAATCAGACAGTTCTTTTCAAAAAATGAAGGTAAACTTGAAATGACAAGAATGGCTATATAGGCAAAATATAGCAAAGCCTGACAAGAATAGTCCGTTTAATATAGCTGAGCCTAACAAGATTAGTCCGTTTAATATAGCTGAGTCTGACAAGAATAGTCCGTTTAATATAGCTGAGCCTGACAAGAATATAGTCCGTTTAATATAGCTGAGCCTGACAAGAATAGTCCGTTTAATATAGCTGAGCTTGACAAGAATAGTCCGGTTAATTAATATAGCTGAGCCTGACAAGAATATAGTCCGTTTAATATAGCTGAGCTTGACAAGAATATAGTCCGTTTAATATAACTAAATCAAACATATTCAGTACCAATCTTTAAATGGTATTTTTGTGCAGGGGGAGCAGTTTTCAGTTTCTCAAAAAGAAGAGGAAAAAGGCGCTAAAATGTTTTCGCGGCAATCTAGCAAAGACTTTCAAACTGGTACTTTGCCGTACAAGTTTGGTCGTGTACTCTCGTTAGACAATACAGGAGGAGGCTCACTTCCCCGCATGGTTAACAGAAGACCTGGCGTCACAATAAATAACAGTGAAGACGATCTGTTCGTCTGAAAATGTAGGAAACAAAAACATTTTTAACACTAACTCTTGAAGAATGGAAGGAAGTGATTCTAATTAAAATTTATAAAAAGACAATAAACCTTGAAAAGAGATTTATATAATGTGAATCAGGCAGAGGCGCAACTAACCCCTCCCCGTATAAATGAAAGAGACTAGATCATGTTTATCCGTCCCACATCATATTGGATTCAAATGATCATATAAATCAATAATTTACTAGAATTTCAAATTCTCCTTTAATCTAAGACGACATTTGCTTACCTCAAATGAGAGCAAAGAAATATTTTTCATAGAAAATTTATTTAATTGATTTAAAAATAAACTTTTTTACGAGTGTATTTATTGTTCGAAGAGGAGCAATTTTAGGAATATTTTGTGATCTAAAACGTAAACTTGTAAATGTAATTTCATTTTAAAAAAAATTTGCATGAAAGTTTAAAAGTTTTTTATTATTACACTATCATAATCATTAGATTCGTGGAATAGAGTCGTTTTTTAAAATATTTTACCCACAAATGATAAGACGACTGCACGGAATTTATTCTTTCATAAGATCGGAGAAAGCTTTCTAAAATGTATGCTTCCCTGCAATAACAATCTTGTCTCTTTCTCTCTCACAAAATCACATTTAACCTTCGAATCCAAATATTAAAAGGGTTTCCGATTCCCATTAATTGTAGCTAAACATTTTATAATTTGTAACATTTCTAATTCTGGAAATGTGCTTTCTCCAAAAAGTTCATACCGCTATAAATTACAAAATCAACAATCATATTTCTAATTAAAAATGCCATCTCATACCAATTTTGACTGTATGTAACATTTCATTTTCTTGTATTTTTGATTCTGTTAATTTTTTTTCATTCTTTTGCTCATTTATATCTGTCCCTTTCTCTCTCGTCTTCATTTGTCATCTTCTTCCAAGTTTTTCTATCCCACTTTATACTTCTCAATTCTGCATTTTTTCAATCCTTTTTTTTTGTCTTTTTTTCTATATTTTGATTCTTAATTTTGTTTTTCTTTTTTCCTTACACATTTCTCGACGCATTTATTTTCAAGACTAATAATGATCTTTTTCCCGCCCTAAAATATTTAGCCTAAATATGTTTAGTGATTTGAATAGAAGAAAAACTCTGAAATGAGACGGAGACATTCTTTTTAACGTAGTCTGCAGCAAGGAAATAATTGGGGGGTGGGGGGGAGTTCGTCGGGGAAGAAAGGAGGGGAAATTAGAAGGAAAGTAAGGAGGGTAAGTAAAAAAAGGGAAGTAAGGAGTGAAATTAATAACGGGGAAGCAAGAAGGGAAAAAAAGGGAAGTAAGGAGGGGAAGTAATAAAGGGGAAGTAAGGAGGGGAAGTAATAACGGGGAAGTCAAGAGGGTAAAGTAAGAAGGTGAAGTAAGCAAGGGAAAGTAATAAAGGGGAAGTAAGGAGGGGTAGTAATAAAGAGAGAGGAAGGAGGTGGAATTAAGAAGGGAGAAGTCAAGAGGGTAAAGTAAGAAGGTGAAGTAAGCAAGGGAAGTTCAGAGGGGAAAGTAAGTAGGTAAAGTAAGCAAGGGAAGTTTAGAGGGGAAAATAAGTAGGTAAAGTAAGCAAGGGAAGTTCAGAGGGGAAAGTAAGTAGGTAAAGTAAGCAAGGGAAGTTTAGAGGGGAAAGTAAGTAGGTAAAGTAAGCAAGGGAAGTTTAGAGGGGAAAGTAAGTAGGTAAAGTAAGCAAGGGAAGTTTAGAGGGGAAAGTAAGTAGGTAAAGTAAGCAAGGGAAGTTTAGAGGGGAAAGTAAGTAGGTAAAGTAAGCAAGGGAAGTTTAGAGGGGAAAGTAAGTAGGTAAAGTAAGCAAGGGAAGTTTAGAGGGGAAAGTAAGTAGGTAAAGTAAGCAAGGGAAGTTTAGAGGGGAAAGTAAGTAGGTAAAGTAAGCAAGGGAAGTTTAGAGGGGAAAGTAAGTAGGTAAAGTAAGCAAGGGAAGTTTAGAGGGGAAAGTAAGTAGGTAAAGTAAGCAAGGGAAGTTTAGAGGGGAAAGTAAGTAGGTAAAGTAAGCAAGGGAAGTTTAGAGGGGAAAGTAAGTAGGTAAAGTAAGCAAGGGAAGTTCAGAGGGGAAAGTAAGTAGGTAAAGTAAGCAAGGGAAGTTCAGAGGGGAAAGTAAGTTGTAAAGTAAGCAAGGGAAGTTCAGAGGGGAAAGTAAGCAAGGGAAGTAAGAGGGGGAATTATGGGAGAAAAGGGATATAAAAACAGATGTAAATGACGACCAGAGAAACATACTTATCAGAACAATTGTCATTAAACATCCTGGCTCAGACTCAGAAGTATGTTTTTAAAACCTTTTAATATATTTTTAAAAAGTTGCGTAACAAATGTTGCACAAATATAGAATTTCAATCAAATGTGCAAATCTTTTGAACTTAATTTTCTGTTTACCTGTGATTACGAAACACCCCTGTATAACATACAAGGAATATATCTTACTTTATATAAAAAATCTGAAGAAATCTAAAGATTAATGTCCTTTGACTTCCGGGCTATAGATAGATAGATAGGTAGACGGGAGAAGGATAGATTGATAGTTAGATAGTAAACTGTCTTTATAGCTGGAGGTCATCCTATATATGTGTTCAGTAGTGACACGGTCACCAAACTGAATATTCTAAACACAGCAGTCTAACAATATCATTCAATATTTAATATACGTTTCTTTTTATTCGTTAGGTCACAAATTTCAAAGTTCTTTGCGACATTTTCTAGTTAAAAGAGGGAGCAAAGACGACAATTTCCACTTCTCGATGGTTATCGCTCTACGGTAATTCAAATCCCCCTGAATCTTGCCCCCCTGTATTTATTCACCNGGGGGGGGGGGCAATAACTTTTCCTGCTAAGATTTTAACCTGTATTTTTAAAACTCCCTTTAAAGACATCGTGTATAGAACGTTAATATTTTTTTAAAAAGTTTTTGGACGTTAACGTTAACGTACATCAAAATCGTTCGTTCCATGCTCACTAATTTATGATCATTCCAGTTTTGTTAAAAAACATCGCTCGTTAATATTTTTGTTTAAGACGAATTACAGTGGAAGCTAGTTATAAAAATAACACTTGGTGACTTGGTCCATTTCTAACAATGAGTGTTAGAAATCGCCGCTCGTTATCTTTTTCAAGCGATTATATTTATCTTTAAGTCTAGGCTGAGTTGAAACAAAAATACTCCATACATTTATTTAATATAAGTAATACCATATCATATATATTGAAATAAGAAAATTCAACTTTAAACTAAGGTGTGAAAATTATGTTTTGATGATATTGATTTCATTTTTGAACATATCCTTACTTTGAAACAATTACCGCATTTTTGCTCATGTCAAGTTTTGGAACATATCCTGGTTTTGAGACAATTACTGGTATTAATATAAATGTTACAAGATTTATTCATAAGCTAAAAAATAAACTAAATAGAAAATAAAAAATATATTGCTAGCATTATAATTCTAAAATAATTACGGCATTGAGAAATCAAAATATTGATATTATCTTGTTCTTACATAATTTACTGATTTAACAAGTTTAAAATAAAGTTTGTTTCACTAATTTATTAAGGTGGGTTTTGTATCGAAAACGCGACAATGATTCCAATTCAAGATAAGTTCGAGAATGGAAAAACCTGGCAATGTCTTGAAAAAGTTCAAGGTTTTTTTTTATATTTTGATTTAAGAAAATAGTTTTAAATTGGGAATTATTGACCTCGTCATACTGAATACAGTGTTAGAAATGGGTCAAGTGTTCGTTTTGAAACTAATGTAACCTGAAAACATCTAAATATTTCAAAAAATATTCTGGATCAAACATTATACATATTTTAAAGTATAAGCAAATATTTAATAACATTTTCCTAAATTCCTTGCTCGCAAACTGCATAGCGATCACGCATAAGATAAAAATGAAAAATCTTAATTAGTAGTTTTCAAACTAAATTCTCAGTAAAATAAAGTAAACTATACGAAAACACATAAACTTAATAATATATATTTTTTTTTATTTGCGCTGTTGGTCTAATTATCCGTTGTTCTAGACTATTATAGTTTAACGGTCCTTTGATTTCTACTGTTAGTTATTTTATCCTTTAATGTTATCAAATTATCTATCCTTTAATCTGCACTGGTAGATTAACTATTCTTTGATCTTATCTTATAGTTTAACTATTCTTAATGATCTCCACTATAGTTATAAATTTTCCTTTAATCAAGCATATCCTTTGCTCTATCACGATAAGTACAACGATTCTTTGTTCTAAACTATTTATTTAACATTTGATCTATACTTTCAGTCTAATTATCCTTTGATCTACACTTTTGGTCCAAATATTCGGTGTTCTTAAACTATTTGGTTAACTATTCTTTAATCTGAACTGGTAGTTTAACGGTTTATTGATCCAATTATCCTTTGATTTACACGATTAGTCCAACAATCCCTTGTTCTCAACTTTTAGTTCAACTATTCTTTTATATCTAATCTTTAACTATTCTTTGATCTACCATTATTAGTCTAACTATCCTTTAATCTACACTGCAAGTAACTCTTTCCTTTGATCTATAACACTTTTAGTCCAAATATTGTTTAATCTAAACTGCAAGTTTAACTCTATTCCTTTAATCTTCTCTGTAAGCCTAATCTACACCGTCTTACTCTATTCTNGCAAGCCTAATCTACACCATCTTACTCTATTCTTTGATTTACAATTTTAGTCCAACTATCCTTTAATCTACACTGCAAGTCTAACTCCATCCTTTGATCCCCACTATTAGTTTAAATATTCTTTGTTCTAAACTACTATAAGTTTTACTAGGTATTCCTTGATACACTGATAGTTTAACGGACCTTTTATCCAAATATCCTTTGAGCTATACTTTTAGTCCGAATATTCTTTGATCTGCTCTGCCCACTATAAGTAGTTTAACAGTCTGCACACTTTTAGTCCAAATATCCTTTAACTATCTTTGGTCTTCACTATTAGTCCGAACCATTCTTTGTTCTAAACTTTTAATTTTAGTTCAAATATTATTTATTTTAAACTATTAGTTTTATTACGTATCCTTGTAATAAATACAATTTGAACATACCTTTAGAAATTGAGTTTTACGCAAAACTTGTTATTTGACTAGACCAGCTACATATTGTGATTAGCTTAACTACAATGATATATTTCTGTGCATATATTATAAAATGTATAAAAACTTAATATGTCAGATATATTTGAAAATACACATTAGTTGGTTGGGACTCTGCTTTGATTTCGGTATTAGAAGTAATTTTGGTCATTGCTAAAACATACGAGTGCTGAGATCGTACCTAGAGACTTGGCATTGATAGATCAAGAGCTTGTTTGATAGCTATGCTTGTGTCCCTGTGGAACATTTAGAGTCGATGAGATCGTGCCCATTGGGTTGGCAATGATCACTGAAGAGTTTGTGTCCTGGTTGAAATTTATAGCTGACGAGTTGTACCTGGACTGATACAGTTCTGGACGAAGTTTTAAATTTCTGGATGATTTCTGGATGATTTCTGGATGATTTCTGGATGATTTCTGGATGATTTCTGGATGATATCTGGATGATTTCTGGATGATTTCTGGATGATATTTGGATAATATCTGGATGATAAGGAGTGGAGTTTTAATCGAGTTTAAAAGTGGAGTTTTCGCCGTCAATAGTCATAAGGGTTAAAACTCGACTTTTCACCAAGTTGAGGGGTTGTAAATATGATATTTGGACGATATGTGGGTGATATCTGGATGATATGTGGATGATATCTGGATGATATCTGGATGATATCTGGATGATATGTGGGTGATATGTGGGTGATATGTGGGTGATATTTGGATAATATCTGGATGAAATGTGGATTATATGTGGATGATATCTGGATGAAATGTGGATGATACCTGGACAATATCATCCACATTTCATAACACCCACATATTATCCACATATCACCCACATATTATCCACATATCACCCATATATCATCCAGATATCATCCACATATCATCCACATATCATCCACATATCAATTGTTAGTCTAGCTCTATCCCTTGATCTACACTATTAATTTAACTCTGTCTTTGATCAACACTATTTGTTTATCTTTGTTTTGATCTACACTACTAGTCCAACTGTTCTAAACTATTAGTTTAATTAACTATATATGTTTTGATCTGCACTATAAGTTTAATGGACCTTTCTCAGCACTTTTAACCTAACTCTATAATTTGATCTACACTTTTAGTTTAACTCTATAATTTGATCTACACTTTTAGTCTAACTCTATAATTTGATCTATACTTTTAGTCTAACTATATAATTTGATCTACACTTTTAGTCTAACTCTATAATTTTATCTACACTATTAGTCTAACTCTATAATTTGATCTACACTTTAAGTCTAATTTATAATTTGATCTACACTTTTAGTCTAATTTATAATTTGATCTACACTTTTAGTCTAACTCTATAATTTGATCTACACTTTTAGTCTAACTATATAATTTGATCTACACTTTTAGTCTAACTCTATAATTTGATCTACACTATTAGTCTAACTCTATAATTTGATCTACACTTTTAGTCTAACTCTATAATTTGATCTACACTATTAGTCAAGCTGTATAATTAAGATAGCCGAGCTGGCTGGAGCATTTCGAAATTAAACGTTTACCATTTTAATTCTTTGCACAACGATGAAAATAAAACACTACTCTGAACAACATTTGGCTGAGCAAATACTACTGCCATTTTATTGTGCCATTAATTTTAAATTTGAAAACATCTGGGATTTTCAAAGGTTGCATATATATATATAAACATCCATTTTTGTTTTGTCCTAGAAACCTACTGCTTTGGCCTTGAATCTCAAAATGATAATTTGTTTAGCTGTCGACCTTATTCCTGAAAACTTCAGCCTAATATGTCATATGAATCAAACAGACAAATTGTCTGTTTAGAAAAGAAATAATTGCCAAATTGTCCGCATGCAAAACTTTTCAGGAAAGTTTAACCAAATTTTAAAAGTCAATTTTGCAGCCGAGTGTTTAAGTATGTGTCACTCATTTGTTTGTGTTTTTTTCTTTAATTTTAGGAAAATGTCGCGATGTTACTAAATTGTTTAATCGTTAAACAGTTTTTTTACTTCTTTAATATAATTTCAGAGTAATTAAATGAAAAGTATGTTTAGAGTTCGCTTCATGTTATATACATGAAAATCATTTGTCATGACTAGTATAAAACAGATTTGAGTACACAAATAGTTTAGTACGTGAGTACATAATTATTTAAGTACACAAATAATGCTGTGGTGGGATGATGGGTTTGGTCGGAAAAAATTTCAAGATCAGCAAACACACATAACTCAGAACGGACAAAATGGAGGTAAGGAGGGGTTTTCCAATACGATTTTAAAAATCTGAAAACTATACATTTATTCTATTCTATTCAGGATTTCACTGTATAGTACAACATATGGTTTCGTGCTTTAATTAATAATATCTAACGCACCACTGAATTCCCATGTTTATTTGGACACATATTAGTACACATGTACACATGTACACCATTATACAAACCCCATTCTTTTTTATTGCTATCTGGTCAAATGTTGCATGTAGAAATAAAATTTAATAATAATCCGTTTTTAGAACTCTAAACCAGAAATGGCGAAGGATGAAAAGAAAGAAAATGGTAGTTCTCATTCTCATGGTTTATAATAGTCATAGATTTAGATTTACATATTATAGAATAGATATCTTAGATAGTTTTTATTTGGTCATCGAGTTTTCACTTAGATATTTTAGTTTTGTTAGCCAAATCAGGTACTTAAGTTGGACCATGCAGGGTACTTTGATGTAGATAGTGCGACAGAAATTTATAATTGACTTGGGTCGTTGATAAACATAATATTTTATTTATGGAGAATCTAGTCTAGTATGACGCATAAATGCTGAATTAGCAAATTATCAAATATTTCAAAGAAGATGAATCAGATTTTTGATGAACTAGATCAACCCAGACAGTAGATGAAAGCATTTCTTTAAATATTTGAAATTAAAAAAAAAATGTTCATACAATTCCACGGACAACGCCGGGCACTTCAGCTAGATTAAATAAAAGAAATTTATCTCCATGAGTGAAAAAGGAAATCGTTATGACACCCGGTATCGGAAACTTTCTCACGAATGGGGTCGGAATCAGACAATTTCAGAAATATTATTTTAAGTAGTCTTTTCATATTCTCTTTTTATTTTCTATTTCTTAATGAACACATTCAACTGTACAGGCCCCAAAAGGCAAGATATATACATATTCAAGGGTTTAATGCAAGGAAAGTTAATTGCGGTCGTGTATACTCTGCGTACATATTGAAAACAGTTCTCTTTGGGCGGAATTTGTAAACAAGAATAGATGCATCAGTGTTCGTTTAGTATCCGAGGAGGTTAAAAGCATTAAATTTGATAATTTTGATAATTCACATAATAGTTTCCTATGACCAGAATATTTCATTGATTTTTTATGTGAAAGATGGATCCCATGTCAGGCTGTGACATCAGTCTTGTGTTTACATTACCGCCCAGAGACAGTACACTGCAGTACAAAAGATGCGTACACTTCTGAAATAACTTTCCTTGCATTACATCCTTGTATATATTGACTAAGAACAGCTGTATGATGCGTCAAAATGCACTTAAGCAGTACAAACAAAAATTTGTATAATGATTTCTTTTATATTTACTAAATTACTTTCTCATCCCAAATTTAAGAAAATTACTGGCGTTTCATTAAGCTTCGATCCTACCCTTTCACAGGTTGTGGGAAAATCGGGAGTTCAAATAGTCCAAGTTTAAGATATCAAAGGTTTATTCCGTCATGTTGCAAAGATATAGGGATTAGAAAATTTGTGGCAAAAATTCAATCCCTTTTCGGCTTTGGAGTTTTAAAATTTTCAACATTTCAAAATTTAAATTTAAAAACCTTTGCACAAATTAACAAGTTCTTGTATTACAACGTTAGAAATTTATATCATCTCCGAGGATATCTTTATCAGAACTTGAGGAGAAGAACTCAAAACAGTATTTTAAACATCTTTAAAACAGATCTGTGATACACACTTGAATCTTTTTTCTCTTGTTCGTTTGATTTCCGCATTAAAAAAATATATAGAAGAATAGTTTTCATCATCCTATTGACTGTATTAAACACAATAACAGTTTCTTTACGAGCATAAATAATGTCCATAACAGTTTGTGTTGAAAGTAAGCTGGCCTTTAAATTTGTCTATGTGTCAAAAAATAACTCAGTCATATCTTTATATATAGTCACACCGACAAATTAAACAAATAAAACTCGAAAGTTATATTTTTTCAACTGTTGAACAACATTGAGCTGCTATTGAATATTCGATATTTACAGGGCAACCCTGAAACGAGGGGAGGAAGGCCAGTCACAACAATTTCTTGTCCGAGCCACATTCTCCTCATTTCCTCTTCCGAGTCACCTCGAAATCCTTGTCCTTCGATTATTAGGTGTTTTAAAGTTTCTAATTCTTGAAGATAAAACTATTTTTTAAAAATCTGGCCACGTTCGGCAAAAAATATGGATAGTCTAAAGTATTGTTGGAATCTTTAAATCCATGATCTAATGATGTCAAACTTTATTTAAGTAAAACTTAAATCTCTTCTTCCTGATCGTAATGGCTAACCATCGCAATATAAGATAAACAGCAAACTATTTGGCATTCCTATGCCCATCATTTTCTCCCATTGAACGGAATTATTTGCGGGATTCTACACCAGGAATATCTGTAAATGCGTGTAAAAAAGGTGAACCTCTTTAAGGACATCGTACTCGAAAACTTTAATTCAATTGAAACAATTTTTTTCGATTTACAATTATTCAATATTTCATTTATTCCCTAACGTGGCATGATTCTTAAAAAATAGTTTCATCTTAGAAGATTATAAACACTTAGAAATTATATTGGAAGGAAGAGGATTTCGAGGTGGTTCGAACTAGAAAATGAGGAAAATGTGGCTCGGACTAGAAATTTTAATGGCTGGCCTTCCTCCCCTCCTAAATATTAGATCGCAACCCTAGGAATGAAATCTAATTTATTGCGAATTTTTCTGTCAAGAAGTTGCGGACTTACAACTCAGAAACATGCATTTATTAGATTTGATTTCTAAACTCAAAATATAATTTACATTCTGCTCTAAAGTTGATCACTTAAGTTGTGGGTTCTTTTTAAAAGTGACTAAAATTGCCGGCTTATGAGGCAGAAAAAAGGAATGCATTTGACAGAATTCATCACGTTTTATGATAAAAACACCATCATCGTTTAAGCCCAGATAAAAGAGAAAGAATACCATTTTAGACTGGGGATGCAAGCTTTGAAATGGAAAGTTTGCCATTTGCCGAAAATGCCAGTGAATTTGCACACTTTAGAATACTGCAAATTGTAACTGTCTCAAATAGTTTAAACAGACGTACTTATAAACAATTAATATATCGCGATCGGCAGGATTTCACATTTTCTAAAAATATTAAACTTCTCTTATTTTGCTTAATACATTGTTAGACAATGAATTTTTGGCGTCAAACCGTAAAGAAATCCAACGTATAGAAACCGCTACGTATAGCAACAAGGCGTATTTTCCGGGAGAACATTTTTTATATTTTTGAGAAATTAGTATAATCAGTGTAAAGTAGATATAGTTTTCATAAAATCCTTTTATTTAAATGGTAAAACGGAATTTTATGAAATCATATTAGCATTACTGGAGAACTTTTTTTTATACTTTTAAGAATTTTTTTTCTAAAAATAAAACTGTAGATAGCATTTTTATAAAATAACTTTTTTAATAGTAACCCGCAATTTATGTATAACCATATAATCATTCATTTATGTTGTCATTACATAATAAAATCTGGAGGACCTTGAACACAATAGAGAGCAGTACAAATGTACGTATTAAGCAATGTTGCTCCTTTAATGTCTAGGGTATTTAAAAAAAATAGAAATTATGATAATGATAATGATAAGCTACAATGTGGTATTTTAAAAAAATAGAAATTATGATAATGATAATGATAAGCTACAATGTTTTACAAAAACGTTTAATTTCTCAAAAATATAAAAAATGTTCTCGTGGAAAATGCGCCTTGTTGCTATACGTAGCAGTTTCTATACGTTGGATTTCTATAAGGTTTGACTTCGAATTTTTCTGCAACACATTGTCAAACAACATTTTTTCCCTGATAATTTTTGTCTGGCAATACATTTTCCGATATTACATTTTTCAATATTACATTTTCCGATAATACATTTTCCGACAATACATTGTCCAACAATAAATTGTCCGACAATACATTGTCCGACAATACATTGTCCAACAATAAATTGTCCGACAATACATTGTCCGACAATACATTGTCCGACAATAAATTGTCCGACAATAAATTGTCCGACAATAAATTGTCCGACAATAAATTTTCCGACAATACATTGTCCAACAATAAATTGTCCGACAATAAATTTTCCGACAATACATTTTCCGACAATACATTGTCCGACAATACATTGTCCGACAATACATTGTCCGACAATACATTGTCCGACAATACATTTTCTGACAATACATTGTCCGACAATACATTTTCTGACAATTTTACTTTGAGTGTTCTAATGAGTGATTGAAATTTGAGGAATGTGTTTTATTCTTGAAATTAGACTAGACTGTTTATTTGAATAGTTTTCCCATTCTTTTGCTTCTTTACAGGTTCAAGAGCTCAGTGCATACCTTTCAACACACTATAATTCGTTGCTAGTTGAGTAAAGAGCTATTTAAGTTTAAATTACTAAACATTTAGGGGGTTTCATTTTCGTTACTTTTTCTGAACAAAATGTTGGTGTAATTTTTTCTGTTATGAAAATTCTACAAAGTTTTTTAAATCTTTCTCTATCTGTGAACAAACTCATAAAGAATTCATAGAATATAATGATGATAAAGAAATAATTGATTCTAACATTGATTTATGGAGAAAATTTCAACTGTTCCTAAACATCTCGTTTGTTTAATGTAGAATTTTTTCCCTTTTTTGTCTCCGTTTATTTATAACTAAAAATAATCGATTCTCAAAACGGAACCACCCAAACGGATGATTTTGATTGACGACTTTGTGCTCAAACTCTTATACATCATAACATAAACAACGTTTTATATGAATCCTAATAAATTTGTCCACAATACTACATTCTCAGTTCAATTACTATACATTGCCGGTCACTACCTTTAATTTCGATTTAAATTTGACTTAACACGCATATTGTAAAAACCAATAATAAATGTGGGGTTTAAATGTTTGAGATTATTAAATCTGTAAAATTTACTAACAGGGTTAACCACAAGGGATGAGACTTCTGAGATGACAGAAGAAAATTGATCTGTCCCTTTGTAAATGTTAATGGTTTCCTTTAGCTTTTAACCTTTTTATGTCATTGTCAAATCATATATTAAACATTGAAAAGCCAATTTCTAGGACCGAAGATGAAGTTTAAACATAAGAACGTTAGAATTGAAGAGTTTTAGGTCATCATTATAGTTCATATTTTGTGGGTAACCTTGTACATAGTACAAAGAGAGTTTATGTACATATTAGAAAATAAATAACACCAACATTCATGCTGGTGTCATAATATCTTTTTTATTCACTCTTTTAAAAACGATTTTTGATTGGTATCTTTTTCTTCATTTTTACTGAGACTCCTTGTACATTGGGACTCCATAAACCTTCTTCATTGGGACTCCATAAACCTTGTACATTGGGACTCCATAAACTTTGTTCATTGGGACTCCATAAACCTATTTATTCAACTTCTTCCCCATAAATAATCAGCAATTTCTGTAAATACATAAAAATATGTTTAGATGTTGAGAACAGTGTTGCAGCAGTCTCATGTTACAGATCGACAGGAGCTGTTCCTATTCCCAGGTATACCCCTAGTTCTTCTTCCTAGGTACTCCTAAATCCTATTCAAAGTACCTGGGAATAGAAACTATGAGTACCTGGGAATATTAACTATAAGTACCTGGGAATAGGAACTAGGAGTACCTGGGAATAGAAACTAGGTCTACCCGGGAATAGAAACTAGGTCTACCCGGGAATACGAACTATGAGTACCTGGAAAAAGGAACTATGAGTACCTGGGAATAGGAACTATAAGTACCTGGGAATAGAAACTAGGAGTACTTGGGAAAAGGAACTAGGAGTAACTGGGAATATGAACTAGGAGTAGATGTAAATAGAAACTAGGAGTACCCGGGAATATGAACTAGGAGTAACTGGAGATAGAAGCTAGGAGTACCTGGTAATATGCACTACGAGTACCTGGGAATAGGAACTAGGCGTACCTAGGAATAGGAACTATGAGTACATGTGAATAAGAAATAGGAGAACCTGGGAATAGAAACTAGGAGTACCCGGGAATAGGAACTATAATTACCTGGGAATATGCAGTAAGAGTACCTAGGAATAGGAACTATGAGTACATGTGAATAAGAAATAGGAGAACCTGGGAATAGAAACTAGGAGTACCCGGGAATAGAAACTAGGAGTACCCGGGAATAGAAACTAGGAGTACCTGGGAATAGAAACTAGGAGTACCTGGGAATAGAAACTAGAAGTACCCGGGAATAGAAGCTAGGAGTAACCTGGAATAGAAACTAGGAGTACCCTGGAATAGAAACTAGGAGTACCTGGGAATAGAAACTAGGAGTACTTGGGAATAGACACTAGGAGTACCCGGGAATAGAAACTAGGAGTACCCGGGAATATGAACTAGAAGTACCTCGGAATGGGAACTGGGAGTACCTGGTAATAGGAACTAAGAGCACCTGGGAGTAGTAACTTGGAGCACCTGGGAATAGAAACTAGTAGTACCCGGAAATATGAACTAGGAGTACCTGAGAATAGGAGCTACGAGTACCTTGGATAGGAACTAATTCTAGAGTACCTTGGAATAGGAACTAGGAGTACCTGGGAATGGGAAGTAGGAGTACCTGGGAATAGGATTTAATACTATTTTATATTCTAAGTTACTCCTAGTTTATATTTTCTGAAAAGACTAACCGGATTTTCGAATTCTTTCATTTTTTCATTTGCGCTGAAATTTGATGAGATTTTTTTTTCAAGAAAATGAATATATTAATGTGAGCTTTTAAATTTCTAACGGAGATTTATTGGATAAGTTTTATTCCTGTGCAGTTTAAACAGTTACATATTTTAACTCAAAAGAAGGAAGACAAATAATTCAAGAATTCTTATCAAAACATTTATTGTTCTGTCATTTTTTTTCGGGTAGAAGGCCGGCCGGAATAGTTGAATAATTAAAGGATGTACAATAAAAAGGCCCCCCCCCCCAACTATTTCTTCTCTAATTTCATGTAGAAAATTCCAAACCATCGACATACGTATAAGGAAGCAGTTTTCATTGACAATAACAGGGTTCTGTATAGAAAAGTGATTTAAGAAGTCCAATACCTGGCTTAGTTCAGAATGTTGTACTTGCCAGTGGTAGGCTGGGTTGCAGATGACCAAAAATATCTACTAAATCAGTTTTAAATCAAGTTTTTGCACGAGTTAGTTTCATAATAACCAATATTTGGTAATTATAAAATCCACACGCTTTACTGCCAATATTGAGAATTCTATAATTCCAAATGTTAGTGAGAACCAGAACCTTTCTTTAATGTACACCTTTAAGTATCCTCTACACTACCAAAATATATGAACAATTACTTTGCAATAGGAAGGTGAGCAAACCTCCTCCAGTTCGACGAAAACTGTCCGCCCCCACAGGTCCAGACACGCCCGCCAAGGTTCCGCCTCCTCGTAAACTATCCTGCCCAGCTCCACAAGCTACATTTAAGGTAGGATTTTTTAGGTATCGAGTCATCGCCACAAACTCTGATTTTCTAATCCCTATATCTTTGCAAACTAATGTACTGTACTTCATACATAAATATTGAAATATTTAGTGTACATTTACTGTTGATAAAATGTAAATAAACTGTACAGTGTACAATGTACATAAATTGCAGGGTCCAGAACGGAACTACTCCTCTCGATGTAAGCCTATTGTAGAACTACAGTTATTGAAAGCCAACCAAGAAGTTCTAAAAGATCCAGATTTTGAGGTAAACAACTTTAAAAGCAAGAATTAGAAGAAAGAATTGTCATTAGAAAAAGTAACTTAGTTCAGTAAATTTTCCGTAGTAAAACTTTCAAAAGTTATTCCGCTGTTTTCTGTTTTTTTTAAGCGTGATTTTTATCATTTCTAATTTTTATAATTACGTTACAATTAAAAAAATTTAACATCATTTAATGCAAAACCAAATTAACAAATTTTGCAAAGAAAATAGAAATATTTTCATTTAAAAACTATTTGTAGGCCAGGTTCCTTTAATTTCAGGTCGAATTGACCGGATTAGCTTGAACAGATATTTTCTATGTTTTTGGCTTGGGACAAATATATATATTTGATATTTGATATTTGATATTTGATACTACATTTTCTAAATTGTCTTTACAATATAAAAATAGAAATAGGTGTAAAGAAAAGTACAAACTTTATTTTTAACCAAATGCTTTTATTCTTAAAAATACCCGGAAAGAGGGGTTGATGATGGGGGGGGGAGGCACTGTGATTTAAGGGTTAAAAGCTCTCAACCAAAAATGTATAAGAATTTTTCCAAAGCTAAAAGCAAGTGTTTTATAGTGCTAATATGCACATGTCAAGGGCTACAGAAAAGCCTAAGGCGTTACGACACTTCAAAGTCGACACTGTCTAAAAATATTATGAAGCTTGATATTAGTAGTCTGAATCTATGACCCAGGAGTAAAAGAATCAGGGGAGGGGTATGCATAGGCCACGGTAGGAATTAAGGGTGGCATGACACAAGGGGACATAAAATAAATGGGAAGGAATAACGGGGCAGAGAGCAGAGAGGGGGAGTTGAGGAGCTTCGGAGGGGAAGCTGAAAGGACTGGGAAGGAGAGAGGGGTGAGTAAGAACATCGTCCATCAACTAAACTTAAATTATGTAATTGTTAGTCCGAGCATTCCTTTCCTTCAATATATTCATTTTTAAATGAGGCAAATTGTCAATTTCAAGTGTTGGAGAATGTTGTTTACTAATACGCTTGAAGTAACGAGGTAAAACACAGGAGTAGTTTATATACTGAAGCAGGACTATAATACTCAGCTCTAAAACTAGTTTATATACTGAAACAGGACTATAATACCCAGCTCTAGGACTAGTTTATATACTGAAGCAGGACTATAATACCCAGCTCTAGGACTAGTTTATATACTGAAGCAGGACTATAATACCCAGCTCTAGGAATAATTTATATTCTGAAGCAGGACTATAATACCCAGGACGGACACTTTTGAAATCTTCGTTAGATATAAAAATCAATATTTAAACTATCAAAAGTTAACACCACCATGCAGGCTGCAAAGATATAGGGATTAGAAAATTTGAGTATGTGGGAGAAACTCAAATTCTTATAGGTTAAAGTCATTTGCTCCCTACACCCACTGTTTAAAAGGAGTGTTTGCGATTTTACTTTTCGCCGTGTAACTTTTTTACATATGCCATTTTTCTTTACAGGTAAATTAGGTATAACTAATATTGGCATCGATCTAATTAGTAAATAAGTATTTTTCGCGAGCAGTCTCTTTAAATTCAAAATTTTTCCGAACTTTAAAATATCTGATCTTGGAATCCATCTTTAAAATATCTGATCTTGGAATCCATCTTTAAAATATCTGATCTTGGAATCCATCTTTAAAATATCTGATCTTGGAATCCATCTTTAAATTCAACAAATAAAAGATCAGTAAATGAACTCAGCTAGTTAAACTCAGAACTAATTTTTTGTTCACTATAATGAATTTAGTCATTTTATAGCTAGTTGTAGTGTACAAAAAGNACGATCTTAAATTATAAATCATTTATGAGCGACATGAGTATTGCATGTCGAATCCATGGTATTTCAATTGTTGAATGCAGAAAATAAATAATGCTTATGGTCGAGTATAAAGAGTAAATTTTTATTCTACATACAACAAAAGTTAATTTTGATATGGTTCGACTTCGACGTTATATTATTCAATTTCTCCGGTCTTAAAAATGGTTCTCAAAATTCCACTGTTTATGGTATCAAACAATCCAAACCTGTACCCTTCAAATTATCTATCTTAAAAAGATTTAATTCGGTAAATTTTTTTCCTTGGCTCTGCTGCAAAAATCAGCAAGCCACTTTGGTACATATATTTTAAATCTTTAAATGAATGGCCCCTTGAATTCATTTCACACTTCAAAGTCCCCTTAATTCATTCGGTTTATCTGTAACAAGAACCTTAACATTTGGTTCATCTGTAGAAACAACCTTAACATTCGGGTTATCTGTAGCAACAACCTTAACATTCGGTTTATCTGTAGCAACAACCTTAACATTCGGGTTATCTGTTGCCACAACCTCATGTAGAAAATTCCAAACCATCGACATACGTATAAGGAAGCAGTTTTCATTGACAATAACAGGGTTCTGTATAGAAAAGTGATTTAAGAAGTCCAATACNTTAACAATCAGTTCATCTGTAGCAACAACCTTAACATTCGGGTCATGTGCAGCAAAAACTTAAACATTCGGTTTATCTGTAGCAACAACCAATACATTCGGTTTATCTTTAGCAACAACCTTAACATTCGGTTTATCTGTAGCAACAACCTTAACAATCAGTTCATCTGTAGCAACAACCTTAACATTCGGTTTATCTGTAGCAACAACCTTAAAATTCACTTTATCTGTAGCAACAACCAATACATTCGGTTTATCTTTAGCAACAACCTTAACATTCGGTTTATCTGTAGCAACAACATTAGAATTCGGTTTATATGTAGCAACAACAAATACATTCGGTTTATCTTTAGCAACAACCTCAACATTCGGTTTATCTTCAGCAACAACCTGAACATTCGGTTTATCTTTAGCAACAACCTGAACATTCGGTTTATCTTTAGCAACAACCTGAACATTCGGTTTATCTGTAGCAACAACCTAAACATTCAGTTTATCAGTAGGAACAACCTTAACATTCAATTTATATGTATAAACAACTTTAACATTTGGTTTATTAGTAGCAACAACCTTAAAATTCGGTTTATCTGTAGCAACAACCTTAATATTTGGTTTAATTGTAGCAACAACAAATACATTTGGTTTATCAGTGGCAATACCCTTAAAATTCGGTTTGGTAGTAGCAACAACAAATACATTTTGTTTATTAGTACGCAACAACCTTAAAATTCGGTTTATCTGTAGCAACAACCTTAATATTTGGTTTATTTGTAGCAACAACAAATACATTTGGTTTATCAATAGCAATACCCTTAAAATTCGGTTTATCAGTAGCAACAACAAAAACATTTGGTTTATTAGTAGCAACAACAAATACATTCGGTTTATTAGTAGCAACAACCTTAAAATTCGGTTTATCTGTAGCAACAACCTTAATATTTGGTTTATTTGTAGCAACAACCTTAAAATTCGGTTTATCTGTAGCAACAACAAAAAGATTCGTTTATTTTTAGCAACAACTAAAACATTCGTTTTATCTTTAGCAACAAACTTAACATTCGGTTCATCTGTAGCAACAACCAATACATTCGGTTTATCTGTAGCAACAACCAAAACATTCGGTTTAACTTTAGCAACAACCTTAAAATTTTGTTAGAAAATATGAGCAGAATGAGAGGTAAATCTCAAGATTTTGTGAAACCATAACCCTCAGCAAAGCAAACTATTGTGGGGAATATTATGTTTATTTATATCAAACTTTTAATATTCCTTTTGGGGTTTCTGTATATTCTGAAATATTGTGTATTGTGTTTAGGTTTAAACCTAAGATTAAAAGAATGATTGAAAAATATAAAACTGATCAGAGCTAAAAACTTTAGAATGAGATATCCTTAACCCGATTGCTTAAATCTGAGTATCCAATGGACAAACTTTTGATTTTCTTCTTAAACCATTCTTTCTTGGATATAGTAGAAAAATCAAAAACCGGTTTTTCTAAATTAGAGAGTTCCTCCCATTTCTGTATATAATCTTAAATGGCGCGCAAAATATTAAATTTAGAGGCTTTATATATGTGACTCTGATTGGTTGAATTTTATACACGTTTCAGGATACAAGTGCAAGATTAGATTAGTCTCGATATTATGAAAAAGAGAGGATCAAGCATTAATCTTGATTACCACCATTCTAAAGTTTTCAGTTCAGGAGTCAGAACTTTCGGTTTGTGAATCTCGAGATCAAGCATTAATCTCCATCTCCATATACATATTAATTTAATTACTCTTCTTGATGGTTATCCCCTGTAGGGATAGCTTTAATTGAGTGATCCATCACTGTTCACGTTTAACATTATCCATTTTCCCCATTATCCATATTATTCAAACAAAATTTCCGTCTGATATGAAATAAATATTAGTTATAAAATAACATTCAATCAGTAACCCGGTTTCAAATTCTGCATCTTTAGGAATATTACTTTTATTTTAGACATTTTCTGATCTCTGTCTGGGGCTTCTTCCTTCACAAATAAAACCCAGGTACTTAAGCAAAAAAACCACGCCCCGGCCCACCTAGCCTGTATTTTAGGGCCGTTTATTATTTCTGAAGTGTATTATAGACTTGAAAAGAACTCAGTAGTAAAAAGCTAATATTGAGTGGAAGAACGAAGCATGGTTGCAAACAAACTATATTTACACTGTGCAGTATACATTTAGCTTTCTTAGGAGCAACAACTGGCTCTGGCTCGGTGCTTCTAAGAGTACTAAGAGATACAGGGTGAGAGAGAGAAAATTGCAAACTAGAAAAACTTAAGCCAGGGGTGTATATTAGTGGTCCCTTGCACACAAATGGAAAAGAAGTAAACAGAACTACAAGAAACATTTAAGGCCTGCATTAATCTTTTAACGCTGTATTAACCTGGAGAATGGAGGTTTTTTATCTAGCTGGAGATCCAGATTTTGCTACTGGCAACTTAAAATATACTCCTTAATAACAAGCCTGGTTAGTTGTTATTAAGTATCTGAACTCTTCGGAAAGACGTTAATTATTTCGATTGAATCTGGTTCTATGTGTAGGAATCAAGGCAGCTCAGAACAGTCAGGTATAAATACAAGGCAGTTGCCAATCTCTGTTGCGCGCAATGCTCCGTGAAATTCCAAAACAGAGAGAGGGGGATTGAATTTTGTAGATCCAGAAAAATAATATCTGTGGCATGCCTGCACAGGGACTGGCAGCTGGTGGGGTCTTAAATGTAAGACATGTGGCCGCAGCGCTCGGCCCCCTAGCCTGTCCTAGCCGCAGTGCTCGGCCCAGAAAGTGTTTTAACCTAACCTAACCCTAAATAAATACTAATTTCTGGATCTACAAAATTCAATCCCCCTCTCTCTGTTTTGGAATTTTACGGGGCATGTGCGCGCAGCATAGAATGGCAAATCCCTAAATACAACTCTCTCCAGTTTCTTGTGGTTGAACAGAACCCTGTGTAGAATAACATGGTAGTACACCCTACTTGGAAAAAAAGTAATAGTGAAGAGAAGGAGGGGTTTCTCTATGCTTCTCTTCCCCTTCCCTCTTTCCAGAAGAGACGCGAACTCTGTAAACCTTGGATTAGAATCTTGATGGGTGTGCACCATGCACTACGATACCAGTTTATACTCTGCCGGCTGCAAGGAAAAGATGGATGTAGACGAGGCCTTATTCTGAAGCACTGTGTCAGAGATGAACTAACAAGAACCAAAATTCTCTTGTCAAAAATATCCACTCCTTTCCCAACCTCTCTTATCTCATTTGTCATTATTAAGGCGGAATTCTGACAATTAATTTCCTCAGAATTTTTCTAACCCCGCTTAGTGCAGTGAAATGTTTTTTTTCTCACCAACCTGTAAGAATATTAAATTATGAAATTATATTTGAACCTGAAACTTCAATCAGTTGAGTCAGCGTTCCTTCCTGGCAAAACTGAAAACTGCAGTTTAGCTAAAAAAAAACACACAAGTCAGAGAAAAAATTCACCGCTCTTTTTAAAATTTTGTTAAAAATTGTTAATTAAAAAAAATTGTAAACAAAAATATTTACATCATAACGATACAACTGATTAGTATCGGACCAATGAAAGTGGATCTAAAATATTTGCCTTGGGCAAATATATTTCCATTCAACTCTTCTGATCAGATACTTTTTGCTAACTGCCGAGGTCTTGGAGGATCCCAGGGATAAGATGGCTGATGATACTGCCTTCTTCCCCGGCTGGATTAATGCTGTTTCACTCCTTTCTCCAGCATCGATCTTACCCTAAATCTTCCCCTCAAACCGCCCTTTAAATTGGACCAACTTGATATATCCAGATGAGAAAGGGGGCTCAATATCCTCCTTGGCCTATCCTGTCATATGCTCAGGCTGCAACATACTCGGGGTTCAATACCCTCTTTGACTGGGTCTGGATTGCTTGGCTTTATCCTTGGATTGCATTTGTTAGACATTTCTCCATTTCTCCAACTGGGAGCAATGAATTTACGGTACTATTCACACATTGGAGGACACTTGGTTAGGTTCACAGTATACTTAAAGGAATTCAACTCTTGCAACAAACTCAAATTTTTTTATCACTATATCTTTGCGACCTGATTGTGTAAACCTTTGATGTTTTAAACTTGGACGAATTGGTCTAACAAAATACAACATAATTCAAAGTTTGAAACATTAAAGTTTTACTAAACAAAACAATTAAAAAATCAGAGTTTGTGGTAAGAACCCTTTTTCTTTACAGTTAATCGTATAAAGTTACTGTTAAAGTTACGGTTAATTTATAAAACATACCCCTTTGACTTTTTCATAACTTATAGTTTGTAAATGTAAATTTTTGATGGCACCTTTATATTAAGATAATTTTAAAAGATGTTTAACCCTATTCCGGCTGGGGGAGGGGGGCCTGACGATAATGGAGATAACTCAAAAAGTATTGGTCTCAGGCTGCATCAGCACATACCCATCACTTTAGGCTCCAAGCGGAGCTTTTATACCTACTTCCTGAGTCCTCAGGCATACTGCCTGAATGCCTTATTTCCTCTTTACCTGACTAAATCTATATTTAGAGTTTAGACTTACTTCCGGTCAATGGATTTTGACTTTTTACAGCTCTTTGGAAAGCCTTGAATAAAGGGAAGCAGATCGCACAATTTTTGAGAAGAAATTTTGCTTATTTTATTGTGCAGATGAATTTTAAAGAGAATTTGTACATTTTCTGTTTTCCTTGAATACAAATTTAGTTTTTAAAATCTTTGCAAATATTTTTGTATATTTCAATTTGCCGTGGTAAGGGTTTTCAAAAATGTATAATTTTTTCATATTTTGCAGATTTTTGCTTAATAACTTGAAATCGCAATACATTTTTTTGGAGCTTATTTTATATTTTTATTTACCATGATCAGCCAAAGGTTTATAAAGGGTACCTATGTAAATCGAATGTTCTATTTTAAATATTGAGGTTTAACTGGAAATTATGTCTACAGTCCCTTTAAGGCAAGACTGTGACCCTTGAACCTGACATGAAGAAGGAACTGAAGAGAGGATCAATGAAGGAGAAGTGGGGGCTAAACCTATCCTATACTCTAGCAGAGAACAAACTACAGGTTGCAGTCAACAAGGTAGATTTACAACATTCTTATAATAAATGGATTCTTCAAACTAAAGATATAATAATCCGTTTTTAATGTTTTCTTTTATAATCTTACTGAGTGAATTGCTTATTTGTTTAGGTTTCGATGTTCAGTCCGGCAGCTAAGGCTGGGTTAACCTCCGGTAACACCATCCTCGTCATCAACGACTGGCAAATAGAGGCTATGGACCAACCTCAGGTTTGTTTAGAGTTTATGAACCAACCTCAGGTTTTTATTAAAACTATAGATACATCCCAGGTTTGTTTAGAGGCTATAAACCCAACCCTAGGTTTATTTAGAGGTTATAAACCAACCACAAGTTTGTTTAGAGCCTATTGATCAACCCCAGCTTGTTTAGAGGCTAATACCCAACACTAGTTTTATTTAGAGGCTATGAACCAACCTAAGGTTTGTTTAGACTTTAGAGGTTATTGAACCAACCTCAGGTTTGTTAAGATCAACTACAGGTTTTTTAGAGGCTATGAACCAAATCCAGGTTTGATCAGAGGCTATGAACTATTCCAAGGTTTGTTTAGAGGCTATGAACTAACCCCAGGTTTGTTTAGAGGCTATGTACCAACCCCAGGTTTGTGCAGAGTCAATGGATCAACCTCAGGTTTGTTAAGATCAACTCCAGGTTTTTATAGAGGCTATGAACTAACCCCAGGTTTGTTTAGAGGCTATGAACTAACCCCAGGTTTGTTTAGAGGCTATGTACCAACCCCAGGTTTGTGCAGAGTCAATGGATCAACCTCAGGTTTGTTTAGAGGCTATAAACCAACCCCAGGTTTTTTTAGAGGCTATGAACCAACCCCAGGTTTGTTTAGAAGCCATTAACCAACCCCGGCTTTGCTTAAAGCCCATGGATCAACCTCAGATTTGTATAGAGGATTCGAACCAACCCCAGGTTTGCTGAGAGGCCATGAACCAACCCCAGGTTTATTTAGAGGTGATGAACCAACCCCAGTTTTGTTTAGAGGCTATGAACCAACCCCAGGTTTGTTTCGAGGTTGTATACCAACTCCAGGTTTAGAGGTCATAAACCTCAGAGAACTATCAGTGATCGAGAGCTGAGATTCACAGTAAAAATAAGACGCTATATTTCAAATTTTCTCTTTTGCTTTTTTTGTTACAATTTTTGTAAAACATATTACTTAATGTTTTATTTATAGATTTATAACAATATTAATATATGCGAAAAACAAGTATAATTTTTTACAAAAATTGTAACAAAAAAGTAAAAGAGAAAATTATAAAATTTACAGGGTGTCCCACGAAACATTATTCAGTAGCAAGACGATTTAAAAGTCGTCTGATCTCTGGAGTTATTTGAGACATTCAGTCGTCAACCTGCTTTCATGTATATGATTCTTGAAACAAGAACCACAAAATTAAGCATCATCATGGTTTTATTATATATATTTCATCTTATTTTCGGGATTTTGTAACTATTAAATCTAAAATTTTACTTCCAAAATTATGTTTCCGAATAAATTTGGCAAATTATTTTAAATATTAAAGACGAACTTTAACCCATCTTGCCACAGTCATGTTCGTGGGACTTAAACCCTGTACATATAATTTGTAATCTAATTGATAAAAATGATATTTGCTTGATGTAGGTTGCAATGAGCTTACTATTGGCTGCAGGTTTCTCTGTTAATCTAGCTTGGAAGAATACTAAAGTATGCTTTTTAAACTCTATTAATGATCCCTATATCTTTAAAACCCATAGATAAAGATAGATTGCGCATAAGACGACATTTTTCATCTTTAAAGATATAAATGTACAGAGATGTTTTAAAGATATTTCTATTATATAGATTAACTAGGTCGGTTGTGAACACTGGCTGTTCTTATGTCATTGAGTACTTGTGGTGTACATGAGTTCTGTAGAGAGAAATTTAAGTTAGTTTAGTCCTTCTCATGTCCTTCTTCAGTTCTCGTCAATATGATATATTGCTCAGTGAAATATTGTTGTTCAAATAGTTCCATTCCCGGAGTTATTTTACACTCTATTCTGTGAAATCCATTAAAACACCAAACCACCCAGCTTATCATTTGAAGTACACTTTGACCCCTAGAAGTAAGAGTTCGCGGGCTGTACAATTCTTGGTTATTTTGCGTACACAAGCTATCTATGTTTATTTATTTATCTATATTAAAACCTGACTGTGTAAACGATGGATATTTCAAACTTTGAAAATTAGAGTTTGTGCCGAGTAATCAGTTACCTACTGGAATTTGAAACCCATTTAAGTCGTTCATTCATGCATCTTTGTTATCAGAATGATCGAATCTTTGTGTAAAAGTGTGTACAAGTGTTTTTGACAGAAAAATAAGTTTACTTGAATAAAACCTGAGGTTTTAAAATATTTGATTGTTTTGAAATTATTGAATTTATAAATTCTACTTTATATGTGTTCAACTTTATTTTCTATAAAATTTATTTTGGAAATCAAAATTTTTTTAAAACAAATTTTTTTTAAAAGTGTTGAATTTTTTTTCTCTGACTGTTTTATCTTCTTTCAAGCTGATCATACAAGCTGATACATCTATTTTCTGTTCCTCTCTTTTAGATCTACGCATTATAACCCCTTGTAGACAACTTTATAGCTTGGATAGTCAACTGTTTTTAAAATAGTTTTGAATATACGAAAATTTTAGAATAAATTTCAATCCCACTATATACGATTATTTTAACTGCAAGAATCCAAGTATCTCAAAAGCTTGTCATTATTTGTCTATCAAGTGACTGAAACAGTGCATTCTTAAGAAACAATAGAAAAAATTGTCAGAATTTTACGTCTAGTTAGAAAAATGGCAATTTCTTCCATATTATTTGTTAGATAAGGTTTAAATTGGTCACTTGAAATTACAAAGGTTTGAGTTTTGTTTTAACCAAGCGTTAACTTTTCCGAGGATGAAATTTCAATAATTTATTCTTTTATTTTAGGAAGAGATTTCAGAATGGAAACCCCTGGATCTATTTTAGGAACTGAAGAAGAGTGTCGTCACATAAACATATAAATCGAAACCAAAAAAGACAGATTTCATCTTCTAATCTGCCCTAGTACATACTGTCTGTTGATTCTATCTGTTGGTCATGTATCGAAAACTTTAATGTTTAAAGCAGGAACTGGGCATCGAAGTAAAACATTGTTTGAAGGTTGACTGGTTGATTGACGTCTGAATACCCATTCTCAGTGATAAAAACCATCTGAATTGTGAAACAGTGATCAAAATAAATACAAATTGTGAATTTTGAAGGAGCATGGAGGAACCAAAGCGAAATTATGAATTATTATTTTTATCCAATTTTTCTGTAATAATAAATTGATTAAAAGTGACCCAGCACATTGGGTTGGGCTGTTAATATATGGTGCCTGTTAAAAATAAATACGACGGTAAGACTAAAGATTTTATTTTAAAAATTCCTATAAACATGAAGCATATTTTAAAATCAACTGAAATCTAGTGAAATGGTTCCGTGAACCCTGCATAATTTCATGTTCTTTGGACTATTTTAATCAAAACTTGAGTCTTCCTATTTCTCAGTGTTTTAACTCTTTAAGAAGTCTAAAGAGAATAGAATATATTAGATTAGAATTTAAACAATCCCTCGGTATGAATTTTGTGT